TACACTCAGCGTTGAACTGCACTTACAGTTAGTATAGGAACTTGAGTATGGCTTGCTTCAAGTTTACTTTTTGTGTCATGGGTTTTGCCATGTATTGAGTACTTGTTACTGAGGTTCCTGAATGTCTCTATTTGCATGTCATTAATTTAAATAACTGAGCGATGGTCTAAAGTGACAGATGTAGGGCCACCATGCATTACAAGTAGCACTGACCTTTCACCTAGCTGAAATTCTAGTATTAGTCTTCGTAGTGGTATATTTTTCTAGGCATAATCTTGTTGCTGGCGAGACCCTTTCATACAAGAGTCAGTTGAAGAATAGAGGTATGAGCTCTTTAGAATCATAGAATCACAGAATGGTTTGTGTTGGAAGAGATCTTAAGGATTATCCGGTTCCAACCCTGCTGCCACGGGCAGGGACACCTTCCACTAGACTAGGTTGCTCGAAGCCCCATCCAGCCTGGCTTTTTTTTCCTTTATTTATTACAATTATAGAAGAGAAGATATGAACAAAAGTAGATTTGAACATGAAGAGTAATCTGAATGAACCAATGATTTGAAGTCTCCATTTCATGTTACTAAATTAATCCCAGGTTTCTGACCTTTAATTTTTCCTGAAGGTCTCTTGTCTCAAGCATGCTAACAAGGTATCCCTTTCAACTCCTGCCCCAAGGCTCTGAGACACTGAGTTTCTTTTTCTCACTTTTATCACCTGCGGTTGTGTGAAACAGATATTATCCACACAACTTCTGCCTGAGGTTTCCATCACGCTGCCTTTTTTTTTTTTTTTTTTTTTTTCGGTTACCCAGTGCTGCCACCTCTCAGAGCCATTCCGTATCATGTGTGTTAGCACATGAGTAAGTTATACAACTGCTTCTTTATTATGCTATGACTGACAAGTTATGTTTTGAGGTTTGTTCCTCTCTGAGCACATCTGCTATTCAGGATGAAGAATGCCTGTTTATGCAGTTTTGGTTCGTTTTCATTGTAAAAGATTTGAAAATGCGGACAGTGAATTTAGTTCACTTAAATGTCCACATGGAGTTTAATGAAACATATCAGCGATAATAGATAGACATCTTTACTGCAATATATAGAAGTAATACATCACTTACCAAGATAAAGCTTGAGAAGACTCTGACTTCTCTGGTGTTTCTGTATGTAACCTGCAACTTTTCACTGAAAAGTTTGACAGTCTACTGCTCAGTTGCTTTGTTCACTTCGCAGTGTGTCAGTTGCACACTGAGTGAGTTCCTAAGGAAAGTACCTAGGACATGCCTGAGTGGGGGAAAAAAAAAATAGTGCAAAATAATACAAGAAGTAGCAGGAACATGTAAGAATAAATGCGTATAATCCCAGTGTCTTCATAATTAAACATAACGGGGGCCAGGAGGAGGCAGAAAGGGTGTTCTTGCTGTACTTATAGTTGACATTTTTCTCTTAAGTGTTATTTTCTGCCAAGGTTCTTATATACTGGAAAATACTTAAGGAAAAATAAATTGAGCATTGGATGTGCCAAAAAGCAGAAAAATGGGAAATTTTAAAGAATGTGAATGTCATATTGTATATTTGTTGGCTACTGTCTATCAGTGTGAATAGTTTTTGTGAAGTATTTTGCTATAGGGAAAAAATGTGGTTACTCCATATGGATTGGCATGTATATGCTTAAACCCTTTCTATAAATATTCACATTAAAGGACACCAGATGTTGCACAGAAGCTGCTGCTTTCTGAACTTCATGGTATATTCTTTCAAAACCCACAGGAAGTAGCTGAGGGGAAAAGTATATTAATTAAGTTCAGAAATAGATTTTCCAGCTACAGAACAATCTCCAAAGAAAATACCGTTTAATCTTAGAAATGTGAGCTTGCTGTCCCAGGAATCTGGTGGCAGCATGCAGCACTGTCACATGGGGATAAAATTCAGATTTCAAGTTCTCAGAGCTAGGCTAGCCCAAAAGTAAGCCACTCTGTAGCCCTTGGAAATGAACCCAAAAGTAAGCCACTCTGTAGCCCTTGGAAATGAACCCATCTTTTGACCCATCCCCTCTGGCCAGTGTTCATAGTTCTGTAGACAGTCTACACTGAAAATATTTTTCCAGTTTTTCTTGACCTGAAGAAATAGCATTGGAATAGCAGAGAATTGAGGAGAAAGGAAGGAACTAAATTTGTCAGATGCTCTGCGCTTTGAATATGAAATATGCTTGGACACACCCTGGGTATATTTTGTAGGCTCTAGAACTACAGCAGAAGAAATAAAAATAATACTTGCTTTGCATTGGTTGAGGAACAAGATTTACATTTTGCAAACCAATTAAATGTTTTTGCTTTTAGAAGTACTGGCTCTGCTGTAGCTGTAGTTTAATCTTCTGCTCCATTTCCTTCAGACCAAAGCACTGAAAGTGACTGTCCTGTACTAGTAGTTGGCACAAAGTGTACATCTATCTTTATGCAGTGAATACGTAAGTGTATACTAAATGGCGTAATTCGGCTGGAAGAAAATGCGTATGTAGGCAAGTAAGATTCCCCACTGAGTATGCCTACATCAAGCAAATCAAATACTTCAAACATGCATTGCTGATGTATTAGGTAGTGTTTCTGTCGTGGTTTGACCCTGGCCAGCAACTAAGCACCCAGCAGCAGCTGCTCACTCACCCCACCCCTGCAGGATGGGGATAGCATCAGAAGAGCAAAAGTCAGAAATCTTGTAGCTTGAGATTAACACAGTTCAATAAGTGAAGCAAAACTGCATGTGCAAGCAAAGGATAATAAGGAATTAATTCACTACATCCCATCAGTGGCTAGATGTTTAGCCATGTCCCAGAAAGCAGGGCTTCATTTCACATAACGGTTACTTGGAAAGACAAATGCCGTAACCACAAACATACCCGATTTCCTTTTCCTTTCCTTGAACTTTTATTGCTGAGCATGACTTGATAGGGAGTGGAATATCCTTTTGGTCAGTTCAGATCAGCTGTCCCGGGTGTGTTTCCTTCTCCCTGGCTGCATGTTGGGAGGCAGAGTGAGAAACAAAGAAGGCCTCAGTGTTGTGCAAGCAATACTCAGCAGTAACTAAAACATTGGTATGTTACATGTTAGGGAAAAAGGTCTCGTCACACACTCTATCAAGGAGTCACTTTCATACCACCTGAGACTTTAACCACTAGGACTCGTAGTCCCTTCGCGGTGTGTGGCTCCAGTGAACCAGTGGGTGCTCCATGTTGACTCTGTAGACACATGCACACTCACTGGAGACATTTTTCCCTCTTCAACTCAACCGTAGGAGTCCCCGAGAAGAGTCTCAAGTAGCCTCTGATTAATCAGTTTTTTGCTGCAGCGGTAAGAAACAGCTCAAGCTGAGTGTCTCCATAGAGTCACCCCAAACAAAGAAAACCATGTAAGGGCAATTATACTTTTTATACAATTATAATCTAAATTACCCACCCCTCTTGTGACAGTTCCAGTCAGAGGTAACATTAAGGTCTGGGGTCTTCCTGTTCCTCAATGTGTCTCCTCTTGAAGATTGTACCTTCTGCGTAGTGGCCTTCCTCACTGCCTTGTATTCCATCGTGAACCAGCTATGGGACCTCCTTTTACTTAACTAGGTTAAAGTTCAACATATCTAGGTGAAAGCTTACTGCCTGCAGCCTAAGGCTTGAGCACATATAGCTACTTAACGCAAAGTTAGTCATGCTAAGTGATCAATATCCTTCATCATGAACTCTAAAATGATCATCAACTCCAAAATGCTTTAGTCACAAATCCAAAGCACAGCATCATCTTGGCCATTATGGAGAAATTATCTCCATCCTTTGGCAGAGCCTGCACAGTCTCCATCCTTTATTCCCTGCCATTTACATACCTGTGACTTGGGCTCCATCAGTTGCAGTGTTCCCTGAGGGCAGGAGTGGCAGCATGAAATGTTGAGTTGTTGGGCACCAGAATTGGCTCAGGTTGGGTTGTGGGGTGCTTACCCAGTTCTTTGCAAGACTCATCCTCTGTTGATTCATGTGGCCTCTGCTGTGGTACTTCCTGTAGCGTATAGCTCAAATCACAAGTAGCAACAATTTAGAAATATATTCATTATGGTACCGGTAGGAAGAAGAGAGGAAGGTGTATCTTCTTCCTCTCTCCCAGAGAATTCCACTGGAGGCTTAAAGAAATCTTCCTGCTAAGTTTGTGTTTTACAAACCTGTTACACCTCCTTTCCCTCCCTTCAAAAAAAGACAACATAGCTGTCTTTGGAAAAGTCTTCAATACCTCTCTCATTTTGTTCTTTAAGCAGTGACGACACTAACCTGAAAAGGACATAGCTTTCATAATGTGCCATACCTATGACTTCTAATATATAAAAGGAAAAGTCAGATGTGGAAGCAATCCCTGCTTTTCTCCTTTTTCTTCAGATTAAAGCATGAAGATCATATTTGTTCTTTGAATAAGTCTAAAAAGTTTTGGTATTCTACCACATCAAATTCAGGATTGTTTGTCTTAAAGATCAGGTTAGACATTGCCTCTAAAACACATTGAATGTATATTTCTTCAATACGTGCTATGTCATTTTGTCTACTTTCATGCCATTCATAGTGCACTTCCTGCAAGCTGCTTGTATTCTTTCATGCAGAATGTCTTCTTTATGTTCTTTATTCAGTGAGTTCATGAATTTGCTTTGCATGTGTAAGAAACAGTGAATGTAAAATCAGTGTGTTAGCTCTGAAAGATGCCTGTTATGCTTTTAAAATAAAAATCATGTTACTTCTATTCAGTACCTGAGAAATAACAAGTTTACACGTGTATTACATTTCTGCCAATATATGGGCAGTCACATTTTCCTCACTTAGAATGAAAAAAAGAAATATTCAAATATTACAGTGTCATAAGCCTTTCGCCTTGTTTAGTTAATAGTCCAGAATCACATTAGTATGTGTTCTAGCATAACTGATACAGACCTGTATAAGTACCCGCCATTCTATTGACTTTGTGCCCTTGAATTTATTTCATAAAGCCAAATTGTACTGCGACAGAGCGAGCCATTGCAAGACTTGCAACACACCCCACCTTGAAACCCAGATTTGTCGAACTTAAAGGTACGAAATACTATATTACTTGTTTATGACTTCAGTAGCTTACTGGTGCATTACCTTGTTCCTGTATATTCCCGACACATAAAAAGAAAAGTAAATAACTAACCTCTCCAGTAATTACCATAATTAGCTGTGGTGAACCAAATGTCACAAGCTTGTAGTCATTTATATGGATTTAAATGGGTTTATTCATGACGGTATGCTATATGACATTTAAGGGTGTAGGACCTTATAAACAGGGCTTATAATGGGAACTAAAAACATTCTAAAAATTGAATTAATGTAATGGAGTATCTCTAAATTAAATAAGACTGAACTGGCAGTGAGCACAATAACATGCATATAAAAAGGCAAAAGGAGCATAACAGCTCAGCTCCCAAAAGCAGCTAAAAGGTTTTGCAGTGACTCCCTTAAACTTCCCTAGAAACCGTCCCCAGAATCCTTAGGGAATCTCTCTGGTTCTTTAGGTTATCTCCTGTTCTCTTTAAACTCAATTTTTCCAACTAAAATCTATGTTTAAAAGGGTCAGGTACAAGTAATAATGTCACAAAGTTACTTTGTTAACACGGCTTGTCAAATACCCATTTCATCTGAGCAATTTATTTACTATTTGCTTGCAGTTTTTACATGCAAAGAAGCACCTTAAGTAAACATGATTATCAGCTGCAGAGTATTTGCTGATGAAGGAGTTCAAAGTTAACAGTGTATTCAGTTGCAGATAATTTCACGTTTGCTTCCTGACTTTTCTTCAACCCTGTTCCTGGAAAACCTTTAGAATCATAGAACCAGCTAAGTTGGAAAAGAGCTTTAAGACCATCAAGTCCAATCTTTACCCCAGCACTGCCAAGTCCACCACTAAACCATGTCATTGAGGGCCTCATCTACACAGTTTTTGAACACTTCCAGGGGTGGTAATTCCACCACTGCCCTGAGCATCCTGTTCCAATGCTTGATAACACTCCTGGTGAAGAAATTGTTCCTATTATCCACTGTAAACCTCCCCTGGCACAGCTTCACTCTAAGGTTTTTCTTGTCCCATGTGTTCAGTAAATGGTTGATAAGGTCATTCCAAATCTGCTTATCTAATACAACATATTTAACTTGCAAAAGCATTTTATTATATTAAAATAACATAAACTCGTGTAGCTGCAACAAAAGATTTTTCTTTCGTCCCTTGTATAGCTGCTGTAAAAGCTTTTAAGGATGCAAGAAAGAACCCAGACAAAGCCACTCCTTTGAAAAAGACTACGTCAGAAGAAGAGCCTAAGTCAACACAACATTTCAATAGCAGTTTGGATGAGCAGGCTTTTAAACTAGCTCAAAAACAGCTAGGATGTGAACACAAAACAAAAAATAGTATGAACATAGAAACTGATGGGGTGTCTGAAGAACCTTGTGAGAATGAATCTGAGCAGAAAACTGTAAAAATGGAGAGAGCATATGTTCCAGAAGAATCTTCATTTCAGGCAGTAGAAATGCAAGCAGTTGGCCAGAATAAAGCAGGAAGGAAACCTGGCTATCAAACAAGGAAAGAAAATACAAGCTCGAACAAATTAAATGCAATAAAAATTAATGATGATAGAGACCAGGAACATCCTAATGAAGAGGAGTACTTTGATGATAGTACTGAAGAGAGGTTTTATAACCAGTCATCAGATTCTGACAGTGACAGCGATGACGATTTCTTCATTGGCAAAGTCAAAAGAAAGAAAAAGACAGTAGCAGTTACTGATCTTTTCTCAGCAAAAGCAAAGGATAGACTTCAGAAGAACATGGTGAAGAAAGAAAAGTACACGGCACCTAGGGCAGAGCAAGATTTGATCATGGAAGAAGGAAAGCCACATGGAAAAGCATGCAAGCTAGAATCAGTGTTCTGCAGTTCTTTGTCTGCCTCCAATCAGAAATCTCAAAAGAGAAGGTAAATCTTCTCCCATTGTTAAGTTCTCCATTCCCTCCCTCTTTCTCAGTAATACAGATTGTTGTGATTTTTAGTAGCCCTTACCAAACAAGGAGGATTTTAGCCAGTTACATTTTAGAACATTTTCGTATAAACTATTCTGCAGTCTTCTTGTGCTTTCTTGACGTGTATTTTACATATTCACATTAGCACTGACATATAGATAGGATTCCTAAAGAGACCTGCAGTAAATGCTTCTAGTTTTGCTCTTTATTAACAAAGAGGAATCAATATATAAGAAGCTTTGCACATCATGCTTGAAAAGTCATTGCATGAGTGTTTTGGTGATCTCAATTCTTTAGTCACAGGTGTTTGTCATCTTACAAGTCTATTGAAAAATCCTAAATTCTCTTTTTATTTTTAGAAATACAGAAGACCAGCCTCACAAAAATGGAAGAACAGGTATGTGTTACTTAACCTGTTAAAGTTGGTTACCTGGTAAACCTGGTAAAGTAAGAATGCTAACATAGAATCATAGCATAGTTTGGTTTGGAAAGGACCTTAAAATCATCTGGTTTCAACCCCCCATGCCGTGAGCAGGGACACCTCGCAGTAAACCATGTTGCCCAAGGCTCTGTCCAACATGGCCTTGAACACTGCCAGGGATGGAACATTCACAACTTCCTTGGGCAGCCCATTCCAGTGCCTCACCACCCTCACTGTGAAGAACTTCTTCCTTATATCGAACCTAAACTTCCCCTGTTTAAGTGTGAACCTGTTACCCCTTGTCCTACCACTACAGTCCCCAATGAAGAGTTCCTCCCCAGCATCCTTATAGGCCCCCTTCAGACACTGGAAGGGTGGTATGAGGGCTCCAAGCTGAACAGCCCCAACTTCCTCAGCCTATCTTCATACAGGAGGTTCTCCAGCCCTCTTATCATTCTCGTGGCCTCCTCTGGACTTGCTCCAACAGCTCCATGTCCTTTTCATGTTGAGGACACCAGAACTGGACACAATACTCCAATTGGGGTCTCATGAGAGCAGAGTAGAGGGGCAGGATCACCTCCTTCGACCTGCTGGTCACACTGCTTTTGATGCAGCCCAGCACATAGTTGGTTTCTGGTCTGCAAGTGCACACTGAAGCCTGCTCATGTTGAGTTTCTCACCAACCAACACCCCAAGTCCTTCTCCACAGGGCTGCTCTGAATCATTTCTCCACCCAACATCTCGAGATTTTGTTGCCTCTGCAGTCTAATCATGATAGGTTGTTTTTTGTTTCATTTCAGTTTTGTGGCACATATATTTTAACATTTGTTGTTAAATAGTCAAATTCTTGAGCTTTCATTTTAATCTGTGGATATCGTTTGCTTTACCTGTTTTTGAATATTAGATACACTTAAATTAGAGTTTACACAGGAAAGTCCTTTCCTGTCTGACTTCATGTTGAGCAGTTAGTGTTACCCATGCACAGGAAAAGGTGTCAGATTATTATATTTAACAAGTAGTTTATCTCATGAGTAATTCCTTCAGTAGTTCCATCAATATTTTATTCCATTTATAGTAGATGGTACCATTTTGGAATTAATTGGATGAAGAGTATCATTTCAGTCATACTGCGTTACACTGTGTAATATCTCATTGGTTTATGTGAAGAAGAGAGTTGAGACACTGCTGAATATTGGTCTACACAAATTTTGCACATAGTCAGTAATAATAAATCTTAACTATCTGCAATCTACCAAGTGACAATTTACTGGGCTGCAAGGTGAGTAAATGTTGCTGTGAACATTCAGATGAATGTGTTCCCCATGGCTCATTAAGAAATTGTTGAAAATATCTGCAATTCCAAGGTAGTTTTAGCATATTTTTATGAAGGTTCATTATGTAGTTAATGTTTTATTTTGTACTTCTTGCACAGCTCTTTATAAAAAGGAACTACAGCTCAAGAAGCAACCATTTGCAAAAGCTGCAGGTATTAAATGTGACAATAAGAAAGCGTTTTTGGAGCAGCCTCTTCATCCATCGTGGGAAGCAAGCAAGAGACGCAGGGAACAAATGTCTCAAATTACTGCATTCCAAGGGAAAAAGATTAAATTTGATGACTAAACTATATGTAAATTGAGATTTTAAAAGAAGATTCTTGCAGATTTGCAACCCATGGTATTTTCTTATAAAATAACAACTGCTGTTTGAACACTTTTGTTATGCTGTCTTTATCCTTTGCAACCTATAAAACAGCAACTGCTAGAACTTATCACCTGTTAATAATGAAGATTGCTTCATTTATTCAATGGACTGTCTGTTGATTAATGTGTGGTCATTTGATGCTGGTTCATAAGTCCCATTACATAGTGCCACCATTTATGAAGTACACCCTAACATAAATGAATGATTTTTAGGAATATCATTTGTGCCCTGTAGGAATAGTACAGTTTCTCTGGAGCTTTTTCTTAGTGTAAAAATGTACTTTGAACTATATGAGGACTTGGATGTCAAGAGAGGGGAAAATACAAAATGTTTAGGTGATTATCTTAGGACTGTATTATCAAGTACATCTCAACTGATGCAGTTGAAAATAGGAGATTCTTAAACAGACTTTACAAATCATGAATGTATCAGGTATCTGGAAAAGCTGATCAGTGGTATGCATAATGTGAAAATTTCTGGAAAGCAATAAAATATTGGCCTGTTAAATTGTCATCTCTGTCCTTTGATTATATTGCTGATTTGAAGAACTGAAAGAGTATCTTTAACACTGTTGTCCTGATGGATGTATCTGGGTGCTCCAGCATGTCTGTCTCGTAGTTTCTGAAAGAATGGTAAAAAACTGAAAGGTCTTTGTACACTAAGAAACATTTCACTTTTAAGTGCCATTCTGAGTCTGGGAGTTCTTTTGATTGGGATATGAGGTAAAATTTTCATTGTATTTTTCTTCAGGGGCTTTTCCTACCACTTAATTGAAACAAGTTTGAGCTGGTAATTAATCTTTAACAGTGTTGTTTATTTACGTAATTTTCCATCTTTCAACTACAGCTTTGTAGTTGTTCAGGGACATCTTGTGATATTGTAGTTTGTGATTATTGTGTTTATTAATCGTCAGTGAATATCTTTTCTGCAGGTTTGTCTGCTCTTAAATCCATGTAAACTTATGGAATCTATAATCCCTTAAAGTGTGGAAGTCCTTCGAAAAACAGTATTTTTTAGTGTCTTGGCAAAGAAGGCCAGCAGCCTTCTGGGCTGCATTAGAGTGTGGCCAGCAGGTCAAGGGAGGTGACCTTTGCCCTATACTCAGCAGTGGTGAGGCCACATCTGAAGTGTTGGGTCCAGTTCTGAGCTCCCCCATATATAGGGGACAAGGTCAGACTGGAACAAGTCCAGCAAAGGGTGACCAAGATAATTAAGGCCTTCAAGTATATGACATGTGAATAGAGGCTGAGAGAACTGGGATTGTTCAGAAGAGAGGCTTCAGGGGTGATCCTGTCAATGTGTATAAATACCAGGGCAGGGAGCAGTGTAAATAAGATCAAACCAGACTCTTCTCAGTGCTGTCGAGTGGCAGGACAAGAGGCAGTGATCACAAATTGAAATGTAAGAAATTCTGCTTACACAAGAAAAATTCACTGTGAGGGCAGCACAGCACTGGCACAGGTGCCCAGAAAGATTGTGGTGTCTCCATCCTTGGAGATACTTGGAACCTGACTGGACACAGTCCTGGGTAACTGTCTTGAGGTGACCTTGCTTGGACAGTGGGTATAAACTAAATGATATCCAGAGGTCTCTTCCTACCTCATCTACTCCACGTGGTTTTGTAGGATTAGGACAGAGTCAAGCAATGACTCCCTAACCATCAGTGGCTCCATAGGGGAGTTACTGGATGTGTCTAAAACATGTAGTCACTATCTAATAGCCCAGTGTATTCCACTTGGGATGATATAAGAGTCAAATGGCCAAACCAGCTTTAGTTGTTTTAATGTAAATTGTTACTCTGTTGCTGGTATGGCTACCACTATCTCTCCCCCTTGGAGACTTTGTATATTAATATTTATAGCCCAGCATTTTCTGCCTATTCTCCCATCCTGTGTTAAATACTTGAAGGCTAACATTCTGGCTGGTCCACTTTGTATTATTACCTAGGCATGTCTTTGCCCACTCACTTAGGCTTTCTTTCCTGCATCTTAAACAGATACCAGTATATGTGGTGGTATTCTCCTGAATGGCATTTGCTGCTCAGAGGAATTAGAAATTCAAATAACCTTCCATTTCCAACTGGTTTTTGTTGGTTTTATTTTCACTGTACCATATGGAACAAGATGTAGGGCCAGAAGCTTCAAAATAAACCATGGAAAAGTTTACTGTGGTTTTGTAGGGAAGGATCATATTTTGTAGAAAAAGCCATGCATTTACCTGCTATATACTCTGGAAGTTTTCCAGATGCTAATCCTTATGGCTTTCAATAAATAAGTATTTACTTATCTACGCCAAACAAACATTTAATATGTGACATCTCTAGTTCCAAGAAAAGGCAAGAAAAATTTGGTAGATGTTGTCAACTATAATAAGCTTTTTCATGGACAGCTGATCTTTCTTTTACCAGATAAGCACCCTAATTCAAGAGTTGATTCACATTAAAGACCAAAAATTTAAAGATTGCAAATTGTTTGGGTCAGAGAGGGGAGGGGAGAGCATATGTTCTAAAGTACTTTTTTGCATGTGCTAAGAGATCGAGGAGCATTGGTTTATCTTGGCATTTGAGCAAGTTCCTTACGCCATTCTTACAGCTGTAATTTGTGGCCATAGAATTCTTCCTGAAGGAAACCTGACTTACCAAAACATCTCTTTTTTCATCTTCAAAAACACTTCCGAGCTCTTAGAGAAAAGAAAAAGATAACATACACTGAACATGAATGAGAGAAGAGAGATTAGGTTATTGGCATTGCTTCATATTTTAATGGGTTACTACTACTTTTAGCTGGTGCTTAGTGACCCACCTGGATCACAGCCTTATACACTGTACAAACAAGTGGTGATGCTTGAGAGTTGATAATATTTTTAATGTGAACTGGGCAATTTTTTTGTGAACTGATAAATGCAGTGAACTTGCCTGGAGGTTGTTGATAAAGTTTAGAATATTTTCTCGTCATTGTAACAAGATAACATTTTCAGTATATACATGATTTTGATATAACTTGTATCTGAAACACTGTTTAGACAGAGACATCTCACAAAGTACTACAGATTTATTTTTATAGTGATATAGAATGTTATTTCATTCTGCAATGATTAGATTTAAAAAACCTTCAGGACCATGTTTTCCACTACCATTCCGTTGAATAAATGTTCTCAGCTAGGGTACATACTGTCAGACACTACTACTACTGAATTGTGCTTCAGGTGCATTATTTTTTCCTTCAGACTTAACTAACAAAACAATCTCAGATTTTTCAGTGTCTTTTAAGAGAGTCAATATTAATTTAAATGTGCTGGTTCATTGGTTTATTTTTATTTTTCCAAGAAAGGTGCACTATTGATAACACCAGCTTAAAAATACCTAAACAGGCATAAATATTCCTGTCATCAGTTTTTATGGACTGATTAGATCAGGAGAAATAGGGCTTGCATGAAAATTCAGATACAGCTGTGCTTTCTTCATTGAAAGTGCGAGGCTGCTTTGTAATTGTAGGCTGGTGATAGATCATTTTGCGATACCAGGCAGGTAATCTAATGTGAAAATGAGATAGTAGAATAGCAGGTAGAAGATACTTGAAAACTACATTGTGCTGTTAAGCCTTTGTGTAGTGTGAGGTGTAATCTACCATGTCTTGCAACTTTTTCATTCTTGTTTCTAAGTTGTGACTATTTTTCTGAGACCATGTCAGGCAGAATCTTCCTCATTTTCTATAGTTATAGCAACCTTAAATCAAAGGCTTCTCATTGAGAGATGGATCTGGCCTATGCATTAAATATAATACGACAAGTAGAACACTTGAAACAATTTATTCAAGTCATTTTCACATAAACTTGCAACCATAATACGGGCATGTAACACAAGAATATGAAAGTGCAATGAAGAATACAAAGCTAGTGCCTGAATATTATAAATTAGAGCTTTTCAGATAAAGATGCAAAGTTACTGAAATTAAGACTCTTGAAAGAAAAGTGAAAGAAGTAGTGAAAAACCTTCAAAAGAGTTGAAAAAACAAGTGGCATTTCACTGTATCTGTAGCGCTTAGTTGCATAATAAAAACCTCCCAATAACATACTCTTTGGTTTTAATTCAAGTTAAGATCTTTCAGCACCACTTAGGGTTTGGAGAAAATGAAAATGCCTTATCGGCATAAGTGTGAGACACAGGATAAACCACCTATCAATGTCTCATTTATGAAATTCACCCTGCTGGTTTTGAATGAGTGCACTGCAAACAATGCGCAAGTGACTGTAGAAAGGTACATTTGGTGTTTGCACTCATTCGTCACTGCATAGTAAACTTTGGAGCAGAGAGAAAATTAGTAGACTTTTACTAACACAAAAATATCATCTACATGGTATGTTGGTTCCATTGGTGACCAATCTGTCATTTTTGTTACACTTTGTCTAAAAATATGCATATATCAAATGTATTTCAGGATTAAAAAAAATATGTAACAAACCCCTCCTTTAATGAGCCTGACATACAATAAGTTCCTTATGTGCAATTTTTATCTAAACATCTGAAATGTGGGAGGTAATTGCTTCACACACTTTTTTATTATTTGGCTTTTCAAAGGAAAGTTGAGACTGCAAGACAGAAAATTCGTACTACAATTCTCACAAAAATTTAAATCTGATTTTACTCCCACTGAGTCCAAAGGGAAGAAGCCTCTCAAAGATGATCAGAACAAGCCAAATGTCTGGTAAAAAGGATTCCAAAATATAATTTGCTGCATAAAATAATTTTTTTATCAAAACAGCTTTTAAAAATGTTTTTCACCAAAACTGCAGGAAATCCCACAAATATATTCCAGTATGAAAAAAGTAAATTAGGTGGCTGGGTAAAAACTGCAGAGCCAAGACACTGAAAATACTGGTTGGCACTCCCCGATTTAGAACTACGTCTACACATGCTGTAT